CCCTGAGCTACCAAAGGAAAGCACACAAACTTAATCACTTGGTCACGGGACCGGTCCCCTGGAAGCTTCTGTTGAGGGACAGAGTAAAGTAAGGTGAGATCTGTCACTCTGCCGGGACCGTGCTGTTGAGGGGCACTGCTTTCCTGTGTTCTGGGTTGTCTAGCAAAAGCAGATAGAGCTGCTTGCTTGTGACTCCACTTACACCTGCGTTTGGCAGTGTTCCTACCTAGGGAACAGAACGACACCTGGCCAGGTGCTCTGGAAGGTTCTCGTTTATGCAGTGTGGAGGGTGGGCCAGTAAGAACGCTCACCTTCTGTGTAGGCGTTGTCTGTCAGGAATTCTAAAGTAATAATAAAACTGTATAACATTTGGTCTGGGGGGGTTACAGTCGTGCGCTCCACTTCGGTAGCCCAGGGTTTTGCTGCTTTGGATCCTGGGCACGGACATGACAACGCTCATCAAGCCGTGCTGAGGTGGCGTCCCACACAGAAGAACTAGAAGAACCTACAACTGGGATATACAACTAGGTACTGGGGGGCTTTGGGGAGAAAAAGGAAAAATAAAATGTTTAAAAAAACAAAAACGGTTCGTCTTCTTTTATTTCTACCATGCACTGGCAATTCTAATCAATGTCGGTAATAAAATACTCCTTCCTGGAAAAAACCTTTTATTTGTCTCTTCTGAAAATTGTTGCAGTCGTGGTTGAGTTTTAGTAACATGAGTGTAAGCTTCAGATCAGCACGTTTATCGCTCCTCCTTTCATGAACATTGTATTCTACACAGAAATTAGTTTGGAGAACTCCAGTTGCGGGCGCTGCAGCCTGGTATTGCCAGAGTTCACTTACGCAGTTCGCTTCCCCAGTTCCTGAAGGGCTGTGTGTTCTTGGGTTTAAACAGTAGAGTTGAAATAAGCAGAGTGGCTGCAGGTACTTGTCTTTTCTGAGCTTATCTTTTTCCTCTTGTCAAGTGTTCGCTGAGGCTGACCAGCCACTAAAGTGCTCACAGCCAGGGGCAGCCCTGAGCCGTGTGGTGGAACGCTAAACTTGAGTGGTGCCTGAAATATCAGCCACCAGCCAAGGTGACCAGACAAGAGGAAGACGGCGGGAGACGTGCGGAAGGCTCAGGTCTCCTCCTGCCAGAAGTCAGCAGGTCGTCGTTGGAACACGCTTCTCATCAGAACTGGACTCACTCTAAAGCCATGGGTCAGATCATGGCCGCCTTCACCATCATTCAGCCGTATTTCTCTCGTCTTTGTAGAAAAAGACCAGAAGTTTTTACCAATATAATAGAAACATATTATGGTGATGGATGTTTCCCTGGAATTTTTTGACTAGAAAGACACTGAAAGCCATTAGAATTAATCTGAAGAAATAAAAACAGTGGTAGCATTCCAGTGTCTGGAATTTAATGAAACAAGGTCTAGATTTCTCCCACACTTACCTTAGAGTTTAAGACTTTTCCTATTTGTATATCTGCTGTTTCATGTGAAAAACCTTTTTGAAATTAAAATGAATTAAAACATTCTTTGATCAACTGTCAGTGAAGATACAGTGATAAATCTAATGTCTGTGGAAGATGAATATGTGGAGATCAACTTTGAATCATTGACAAAGTGCAGAAGTTAAGACTTGGAAAAAATTATACTGTTATTCATGACTGAGATGAATGTGGAAAGGTTTTTTTTACCTTTTTAAAAAATGCATTAGTGTAATTAAAAGTATGAATCCATTACTTTTTTCCTTTTTTATTCTGTAATAATTATTTTTACTGACATGATTATATATATAAAGTTCAGTAAGAAATACTCACTGCGTTTCTCTCCTGACCATTGTTATTCTTATTTCTAAGAATACTTGTGTTGTGGAGCGGAGGGTGACAGTGCTGCGCACCGTGTGCCCAGCATGCTGGGCCCAGCGCTCTGGTGGAGGTGCTGCTGCCAGCTTGTTCAGCTGTGTCCCTCTCTTCTTGTTCTGAACAGTGCGGTCATGACTGGGTCCTACAACAACTTCTTCAGAATGTTTGATAGAAACGCACGGAGGGACGTGACGCTGGAAGCCTCGAGGGAGAACAGCAAGCCTCGAGCCAGCTTAAAGCCTCGAAAAGTATGTACAGGTGGCAAGAGAAAGAAGGATGAGATTAGTGTGGACAGTCTGGACTTCAATAAGAAGATTCTACACACGGCCTGGCACCCCACGGAGAACATTATTGCCGTGGCTGCCACCAATAATTTGTACATATTCCAGGACAAAATCAACTAAGGCAGTGAGCGTGAGGCCGCGTGGCATCCTGCGCACTTGAGTCCAGTGGTTTTCCAGCAGCAGCGGCCCTGTCCTCCTCGCCGTGGAGGGCAGCAGGGCCCTTCCCGCTTCCTTCGTCGACCGGAGAGGCCTCGTGGAGCCCACACGCGCGTCTGCCTTCAGCGAGGTGAGCCTCGGGGTCGCTGCTCAAGCGAAAACCCACTCGAAGCAGAGTCGATGGACAGTGCTTACAAAGGCCGTTACTCAGAATAAATGTATTTATTTAAGTCTGAGCCTTCCTTTCCAGTTTATAGACCAAAAAATTAACATCAAAGAGAAAAGTTGTCAGATGTCATCTCTCTTTTTCTCTCCAAGTCTTTTTCCCTCCTCCTCTGCCATCATACTGGGGCCTTCACACGCGTGTGCTGTGGCGGCTGTCTGCCCTCGCCTCGGCCTTCCTCTGAGCCCAGGTGGGCACACCGGTGATGCACAGATTCAGCCCGAGCAGGCTCAGGCGGCTTTACTCCCCCACACACCTGTAGCTACCATCACACCTTCTGGTTTACAACCACTTAATAAAAGCAACACGCTATAAAGAGTGTTTGTAAATCCAAACAGAAGTATCGTCTTTTTATTTGCTTTAATTGCATATAATGAGATTATGCAGAATGATGCTGTGGAAAGCTTTTGTCCTTCGTTGACATAATGGTGGAACACGCGTGGGACTTCACACTGACAGTATCTATCCCCAAACTTCTGTGACTTTGTTTTGTTTCTATAGAAATAGTACACATGGCAGACCAGGTAAGGTCGGGAAAAGCCTTAACTAGACCCCCTCTGAGAAAGAAACTGCAAGGAACAGCCACAGAATTGCTGCTATAAAATTAAGCCCTGGTTTCAAGTACACCTCAAGTTCACTGCGATTGATAACTTAAATGCTTTCTTTTAAAACTTTTTCAAGAGTACTTAGGGGGGTATACTTTTTAAAAATTGCTAAAATTATATGCATGCTGAATTTCATCTTGCATTTCAAGCCAGCAAAATTAAACCATTTTAATTATTATGTGATACCACCAGTACGTTGGTGGTTTATTTTAAAAGTGGGATCTTTGATATCAGAAATCAGGATTTCCCTAAACAAAAAATAGACAGGTGTAACAAGGCTGAGTGGTTGGAGCTTGTTGCGTGGAATTACACACGTGAGCCCAAATCACAGTGGCCTCCCAGGGCGGGGCAGAGAGTAACACTCACACGCTCTGGAAATTGGTGTATTTTGATTACTGATGATATAGATATACAAGGACAAAATGTCTTATCACTCATTACCCTGAATTTATATTAACAGAATGCCACTTAAGTTCACATTAAGTTAAAAATTGAGAATCTAAAAGTGCATTTATTTTAATTTTACAATAATTCTTATACTGTATATTGGTTGACACAATTTACAAATCTAAGATGTGGAACAGAGTTAAGTGTTACTCAACCCTGATCCTTAAGAAAAAAGAAGTTCTAGTAAAATGGGATTGTATATATTTGTTCAGCTATTTTGACCAAAAAGTTTAATAAATTTTAAATATTTAACTGGATTTGTACTGTGTATTTGGACAACTTTTTCCATCTTTCCTTTAAAACATATTTCCCACCAAATAGAAAACCAGCCTTCCGTGTCTCGGAGGGGACGGCACAGAAGGTAAGGGCCCCGGGCGTGTCTGGGGGTTCAGGGGCTGCCACGTGGCCTGGGGTGCGGATTACCTGATGGTGTCGTTGCGGGCTCAGGGGCCCTCCTGTGGTTCTTCAGCCCCGTGTGGCGGGGCTGGTCCTCGAGGTGCTCCCAGGAGCGAGTCCCTTTACACGAGTCCAGGAATCTCTCCCTCATCCTTTTCCCTTTTATATTTGATTCCGTTTAACCCTTTTTCCCTCTCAAAGAGGTATAAATCCTATGGTTTTCAGACTTATATTTATTGTTTATTTATGAAATATCATTTTTCTTACTCTTCTAAAACTTTCCCCTTTTGTCTCATTTATTTATTTGACATCAGTTAGAAAGTCTGATGATTCTTATCTCTTCCTATAACTTTCTGGGTTTTGCCTCCTTAGACCTAAGTTTATGGGCAGTTGCCTTGAAGAAATTTGAAACAGTAGGTTCTGGTGGGTAGATAGATGCCATGCTGAATCTGTGCTTTGCTACCAGGGTCTCCAATCTTATCTTTTTTTTTTTGGTGAGGAAGAGTGGCCCTGAGCTAACATCCATTGCCAATCTTGCTCTTTTTGCTTGAGGAAAATTGTCCCTGTCCCATGGCTTGATGTGCAGTGTGTAGGTCCACGCTGAGATCCAAACCTGCGAACCCTGTGCTGCCGAAGCAGAGCACGTAAACTTACCCACTACACCACCAGGCCTGCCCCCTTTTCTCTCATTTAAAGTTAGAGAGTTACATAAGTTTTATCTGTTCCTGAAGGTTTAATCTGTGAATTTTTGTCATTGCTTGGAATTCTGTGCTCCTGTTTTACTTGAAGCTTTAATGCTCTACAGGCTGATGACCTGGACTAGAGAAATAAGCTTTATTTACCTGTGAATTTAGACATGCGTTTTTTTTGTTGTTGTTGTTTTTGTTTGTTTTTGAGGAAGATTAGCCCTGAGCTAACTGCTGCCAATCCTCCTCTTTTCGCTGAGGAAGACTGACCCTGAGCTAACATCCGTGCCCATCTTACTCTACTTTATACGTGGGACGCTGATCACAGCATGGCTTTTGCCAAGCGGTGCCATGTCCGCACCCGGGATCTGAACTGGCGAACCCTCGGCCGTCAAAGCAGAATGTGCGCACTTAACCGCTGTGCCACCGGGCCGGCCCCATGACATGTGTTTTTTAAAAGAAAGATTGAGCTGCTGTAAGCCCTTACAAGACAAGAGTCAAAGTCTGATTTTAAAGTGTCCACGAATGCCTGCCATTAGTAAGTGGGACAGAGGAGTAAATGCTGAGTTCTGCCCACTCTTCCTATGGAGAGCTGAGGAGCCATAGTTTTCACAACCAGAAGCCGTCCCCAGAGCTGTCAGCTGGTCGACGTAGTGTGTCCAGTTCCTGGCCTGGCTGAGCAGAGGGCTCTGTGTTGCTTTCTTAGGAGGAATTGTCTGCAAGTCCTTGCTTAAGGGGATTGAGAAGGACGTCAGAATTGACACTTAGACTTTTTTCACTTGACGTGTTCTGTCCACGGACCGGCAGCATTGCAGTCACCAGGGGAATGTTGGAAGTGAGTGAGGTCAGAGGACGGGAGCCCAGACTGGGGAGGGCCTGGGTGATGGCATCTCCGTGGCCACTGTAGGTGAAGGAGAGTCGGTGCCCGCTGTGCAGGCCCTCATTCTGTGCTGAGCCCTGGTCTGACACTGGGCTCTGCCCTGGCATGATGGCAGGGGTGTTGGCCGGGGGTGGAAGTCAGCTCCCTTATGAAGTGCCCCGTAGGTGCTGTGTCAGGGGAGCCTGGGGGCCAGATGCGAGTTCTCATGTGAGCTGCTGTGATGGATAACCAGGACTCCAATCCTTGGGTGCTCCAGGTGGAGAGCAGATGCAGCTCAGAGGGAGAGACTGGTAATGGCCCACAGACACCAGCCTTTGGGCATCTGCCTGCTGACCTCAGGCCCCTTAACTCACTCCAAAGGCCTGTTGGTGTGGGCAGCACAGACCTGCCTGGCCGGGCTCAACTGTGTTCCCTTGGGTCCCATCCTCTGCTGCAAAGGGGCTCACTTGTGCCCACAGCAGGGGCTGCCTGAGAAGGCTGAGCACGTTACCCCACAAGGGCCTTCTGTACACAGGTGGTGCTGGAGGCCACATGTGGGTGCGGTGTAGACCAGCTTTGCCTTCACATGTGTACGCAGGCCTGTCACTTGCCTGGCCGTAGGGAGTGGTGGGGTTTGACTGGTGTGGGTGACAAGGAGATGGTAACAGTAATGGTGACCACCCCCTTCTGGGTGTGTGCTGTGTGCAGGCACTGGGCTGAGTCTCTGTAACACCAATCTGGTGGTGGCTAACAGGAGGACACACTGCTGCCCACGGTCACCGGGGTGGGGTCGGGTTGTGGTTCGGTGCTGCACAGTGGACTGCTGGCGAGCGCTGGTGCTGGGCAGGGCGCCGCTCGCACACCATGGAGCTTGACTTGGATGTTTTAGGAGCTGCAGTGCCCCTCAGGTTGCGAGGAGGGAATCATCGACTGAAGGACGTGCGTGGTTGGTGTTTTCTGGGCCTGGAGTCTGCTTCAGTTGTCCGGACCTCTTGTCCGGCAGTCAGACCTCTACACACGACCTGAGGTAGGTGCACCAACTGTGTCCCTGAATTCCACATCCACGTCCAGGGCAGGTGGCAGTCACACTGGTGGAGGCTGGACGGGTAGCTGTTTGACGTCACACAGGAACCCGCATTTGGCCGTCCTGCTTTCTGGCTCTTCTGAAGTTAGTGGGGCTGCTGGACCCCGGGCCAGTGCGACCTCCCTGTCCGGTTTCGTCTCGCGCCTCTGCCTCAGGTCTCACGCTCTCAGGACTGTTAGGGCACTGTTCTAAGAAAGCGTTTCTTCACCTCGAACTCCATGCTGTTTCAAGACCTTGTGAACAAATAAAACTTGCGGTTGCTCGATGATGACAGTCAGTGTCTGCTAAGTCACTGCAGGTGACTTGTTCAGTTGTCATTTTCCATTTGGTGGTTTGAAAATAATTTTGATAGTGATACAGTTTTCAGTTTTGCAGATCTCATCTCAGGCTTTGTAGCTCTCCTTTACTTAATGTCTTTGAGATGTCACTGACATTGCTAACAGGCTCTGCTCCTGGACCAGGAACTCCAATGGAGACTGGGGCCCTTGCACATTTGCAGGCCCCCCCTCCGTCAGAATGGATGCACCCTGGTGCATGGAGGCACCCCACCATGGCCTGCCCCGGGCCCACTCGAGCTACCCACTGGGCCACAGCCACAGAGGAGTGCAGCTGAGGCCCAGAGGTTCATATAGGACTCCTCGTGGAGTCCTCATTATGTGACATCCAATCCCTAGTGAACCTGTCGGATGTTTCTTTTGGGTTTACTGTAGCTTTCAAGATGACCATGCCCAGAGAGAAATCACTTGTCTGCCTGAGAGTTAATTGTTATTAGGAAATTATCTTTGGGAATCTTGAGACACCTCTAAAAAATGTGTTCCCTAGGAAGAAAAACATTGATTTGTTATTAAGAACTTTCAGGGAGGGGCCGGCCCCGTGGCCGAGTGGTTTCGGTGGCCCAGGGTTTCGCTGGTTCAGATCCTGGGTGCGGACATGGCACCACTCATCAGGCCAGGGTGAGGCGGCATCCCACATAGCACAACTAGAAGGACCCACAATTAAAATATACAGCTATGTACTGGGGGGATTTGGGGAGAAAAAGCAGGAAAAAAAAGATTGGCAACAGTTGTTAGCTCAGGTGCCAATCTTTAAAGGAAAAATAAAACTTTCAGGGAAAAATTTTTTCTCTAAAACCTAAATATCTGAATGCACTATAACTCTGGTTCTTTTTAGAGATGTTTTTATTTTTTTTTAATTGAGGTCTAATTGACATAACTACATTAGTTTCAGGTGTACAACACCTGATTCCTATTTGTATATATTGTGAAGTGATCACCACAATAAGTCTAGCTAACATCTGTCACCACACACAGTCACAAAATTTCTTTTTCTTGTGATGAGAACTTTGAAGATCGATGCTCTTAGCAACTTTCAAATATGCCGTACAATATTCACTATAGTCACCATGCTGGACATTGCATACCCAGGACTGACTTGTTTTATAACTGGAAGTTTGTACCTTTGGACCCCCTTTACCCATTTCACCCCCCCCCCCCCCCCGCCCCCCGCCTCTTGCAACCACCAATCCGTTCTCTGCATCTGTGAACTTGTTTGTGTTTTGTTTTTAGATTCCACATGTGAGATCATACAGTGTTTGTCTTTCTCTGACTCATGCACATAGCATAATGCGCTCGAGGTCCATCCATGTTGTCACACATGGCAAGGTTTCATGCTTTTTTATGGCTGAATAATATACTATTCTCTCTCTATCTATACACACCACATCTTAATCCATTCATCTGTCAGTGGACACTTAGGTTGTTTCCCAGATCTTGGTGGTTATAAATAATGCTGCAGTGAACATGGGGTTGCATGTATCTTTTCAAGTTAGTATTTTCATTTTCTTTGGATAAATACCCAGAAGTGGGATTGCTGTATCATAGAATAGTTGTATTTTTAATTTTTCAAGGAACCTCCATACTGTTTTGTTTTGTTTTGTTTGCAGGGAAGGATTCGCCCTGCACTACCATCTGTTGCCAATCTTCCTTTTTTTTTTTTTTCCTCCCCAAGTTCCCAGTGCATGGTTGTATATTGTAGTTGTAGGTCTTTCTAGTTCTGTGTGAGCCACTGCCACAGCCTGGCTACCAACAGATGGGTGGTGTGGTTCCACGACCTGGGAGTGAACCCAGGCTGCTGAAGCGGTGAGAGCACTGAACCGTAACCACTAGATCAGGGCTGGCTCTCATACTGTCTTCCATAGTGGCTGCACCAGTTTACATTCCCGCCAACAATGCACGAGGTTCCCTTTTCTCCACATCTTCTCCAACACTTGTTGTCTTTTTGAGAAACAAATTTTTTTCCTTAATGAATGTAAGTTTTGAACTGGTAATGCCTGTACAAATTTCAAAAATCTTTAGAAGAATCACAGGAAAGTCTTGCCCCTGCCCCTGACCCCCGTGGGTAGTTTTTGTTACTCTTCTCTCAGGCATACTTTGTTTTTCTTACAGAAACGCTTTCTCATTTCTTTGGTGCACACAGGGTAGCACACGTGCACACTGCTGCATCTCTCCCTTTCCGCCACAGTCGTCTTGGCCATCTCCCCACTGCAGTTCATGGGGAGCTTCCTCTGCTGTTGGGAGGAAGCATCCAGCACCAAGAAGTAGGCTCCAGGGCTGGCCAGGCTGATGCTGATGCCGCTAGTCCAGGGACCGCGCTTGGAGCAAAGGTATCAACTGTTTATCTTACTTTCTCAATATGTTTTATTTGAAATGATTTTAAACCAGTTGGAAAACTCAGAGAGAGTTCCTGCATAACCTTCATCCACTTTCCCTTATGTTAACATCTTACGTAGCGTGTTGATGTATGGAAACCTGGAAAGTAACATCAACACAGTCTATGAGCTCATCTACAAGCCTTTGGATTTTCCTGGTTTTCTTAGTGACGTCTTTTTCTTGTCCGGGGTCCAGTCAAGGATCCGCATTGCATTTAGCTGCCATCTCTCTCCATCTTCCGATCTCCAACAGTTCTTCAGTCTTTCATGACCTTCACCCTGGACACTGATTTTGTAGATTCTTCCCCAATTTAGGTTTTCTTGATATTTTCTTTTGATTAACCTGCAGTTACATATTTTGGTTAGAATAATACAGAAGAGATGTTGTGGCTTCCCCACACATCATCGGGAGGTAGATAGTGTCTGCTAAGTTTCTTCATTGTGAAGCTACTAGTTTTGTTTCCGTAATTCCTGTTTCGTGGGGAGACAGTGAAACTACTATTTTTCATCAGACCTTCGCCCACTAACTTTAGCATCCACTGATGGTTCAGTAGTTGTGGTGTTTGCCTAATGAGGACTCCTGCTGTCACCCCTTCTGTATGTATTAGCTGGAGTTCTTTAAGGAAGAACTGTCCCTTCTCCCACTTGCTCGGTGTGTCTGTCATTGTGGACCTGTGAATACCTGCCTTAGTCTATGGGTAAAAACCCATTACCGCCACGATTTTGGTACTCATCTGGCCCAGACAGTCTGGGCTGTTGGGAGTTCCTTCACCTTGGCTCCTTAGCCCTTTCAATGTGCCATCATCTTTTGAGCACATCCTTAACTTTCTGGCATCACAAATGTTCCAGACTCATATTGCCCTGGAATCAACCACTTTTCCAAGGAGCTCTGGAGAGTGTTACTAGAAACCAGGATGAGGGGGTTGGCCCAGCTCATGCTGTTGAAGTGTCGTTACTCCTAAGCCTTTTCACTGAAGAGCTAGTAGACGTATACTCACACACACTTCTCTATTTCTGTATGTCTCTGTACATGTGAAACCATGAGTTAATACGAACACCTCCAATTCACAACCTCCCCCCGCTTATGTTAACTCCTCTGTCCCAGTGAGACCTCCTGGCTCTCACTGCCCATGAGACTCACATGCTCTCTATTAGCATACACGCAAAGCGGCTTCAGAACTGCTAGCCCACAGCTTCATGACATCAAGCTTACTGGCCAGAGAACAGTATGTGCATTCACTTTTCCTTTCGAGAATGCAGTCCAGATTTGTTCCCAAGGCACTCAGGCTAGTGCTTTCCTTCCCACCCCTTCCATGTGGCTTCACTCATGTCTCACTCATGTGTCACAGCTAGGCCCCCTTCCTGTTTGTGTTCCATTTTTGGATTCCCCCCAAATGTTGGCTGATCTATGGATTTGGGCATGAGTCAGTCATACAAAGAGCACCCTAGTGCCTCCCCATTTCCCCCCTCGTCCTACTGTCACCACCCACCCCTGGAGGTAGCCAGTGTCTTTCATTTCTGGCAAATGACCCCATATTTCTTTTGCACAAATGAGCAGATGCGTAAACGGCAGCATACCACATAGGTTCTTTTTTTTCCAAACACTTTATTTTGTTCACCAGTCTACAGTTTGGGCTCAACAAGTTCAGCTCCTCTCTCCTCCAAACGGTATCAGCTGGGCTGCCTCATCTGAAGCCAGAGGATCCGTGTCAAGCATGGATCACCCACATGGCTGGTGTCTTCCCCAGGTGGGCTGCCTTCCTCACAGCATGGTGGATGGGTTCTAAGAGACAGGCTGTAGCTGCCAGTTTAAGATTGGGCCCAGAGAGAGGCCAGCATCACTGCTTCCTGCTGTTGGCCAAGCAGTCCGGAGTCCAGGGGAGGGCACGGAGAGGGGGCCTCTGATCATAGGGCTGACCATCAGAGAGCTCACCATTAGAAAGCCCCCCATTGCCAACTCTGTTTCCTGTGTGTTGGGGATACGTAGACACTTTGACACCATGTTTTTTGGGTTTTGCTTTTGCTGAGTAAGATTCACCTGCGCTAACATCTGCTGCCAGTCTTCCCCTTTTTGTGGGTGGGCCACCACCACAGCATGACGACTGAGAGGGGAGTGGTGTAGGTCCATGCCTGGGAATGGAACCCAAGCACGCCAGACTCAACCACTAGGCCACAGGGGCCGGCGTGGTACTCCATTTTGTTGAATTACCACAGCTTATTCAACCCGTCTCCTATTACAGGCACTACAGTTGTTTCAAATATCTTAATGTTATATTTAGTTACGTCCTTGTGTGTATCCATTTTCAGATCTTTAGAGATTTGTCTTCAGGGTAGATTCCTAGAAGTGAGTTGTACATCAAAAGGAACTTGAGGGGCTGGCCTGGTGGCGCAGCGGTTAAGTTCGCACATTCCGCTTCGGCGGCCCGGGGTTCACCGGTTCAGATCCCGGGTGCGGACATGGCACCACTTGGCACGCCATGCTGTGATAGGCGTCCCACGTATAAAGTGGAGGAAGATGGGCATGGATGTTAGCTCAGGGCCAGTCTTCCTCAGCAAAAAGAGGACTGGCAGCAGATGTTAGCTCAGGGCTAATCTTCCTCAAAAAAAAAAAAAAAAAAAAAAAGGAACTTGAAGGGATAGTTTTTGGCCCAGTTTCCCACCAGAGAGCTGTGTCCATTTGCATTCCTTCTAGCAACGTACAGGTGTCACACTACAGTCTGCAGACTCAGACTCGGGTTAGTGCAAACGTCAGGATCAGGAAACTGTGTCTAAAAATAGCAGCCAAGTATTCAAATTTTTTTAACCCAAAATTGGGATTATGTTAAGTATTTTGTAAACCTGCTATTCAGTGAATAAAATGATTAAGGTGCTGTTTGTAAAACAGCAGAAAGAAAGGCTATTTGAAAAGCTCAATTATATACACCCATTTTCCTGAAAGATAAAGTACACATACATACATAACAAATATACATACATGTTTTAAGTGGACCATTTTAAATGAATAAGATGTCTGATGTAATGCTGGCATCTGAAAAAAGCCTCTTGAAAACCAGAGTTGTGATCCCCCAGCTCATTTGTGTGAAGCGCTTTTGTAACCACCACTGATACCTCCAGCCAGTCTCCCTCAGGGCTCAGCTGACGCCATCGATGAGAGGGACAGATGTGACTTTGTCAAGGGCCCCAAGTCGCCTGAGTCATGGGTTCAGACGGTGATAGGGGACTCACTGAGCTCACTTTAAGGGGTGCTAATTCTGAGGACACTCGAGAGAAGCAGAGGAATGGAACCCCTTTGTTTCTGATGAAAGACACATTTACTGTACCAAAAGGGAATTTGCTTGGCCAGAGAGATTCACTGTGACCTCCCAGGCTTTCTCTTTTTTAGAGGATAAACTACATAAAGAATTCAGATGCCATCCAACCAGCTGTCTCCAAATGAAAGAGCTATAAGCTACTACTTCCAAGGTAACTTTAAATATCAACAAAGATTTAAAAAATTAAAATGTTATTTATTTTAACACAACTAATTTAGTGTGGAAAAGTGAAACAAATACCCAACAGCATATATACAGTACATGAAAGACGCAGCCTTTTAAAAATCATGCTGTAGAAAAGATAAAGAATGTAACAAGGGAATAAGCCTGGTTTCCTCAAAAAGCTTATGACGTTTCATTTTAAGCCATGTGTAAGTAATCTCAGAAGGGTTTGGCAAAGGTTTATTTTTTTCTATTTCCAGTCTTTTGTAGACAGATTTGCTAGAATGAAGCCGATGCTAAGAGCACGCAAATACTGAACACAAAGGATGAGACTAAATTCAGCAACGTAGAGTGATAGAGTAACCGTGGCTACTGACCACGTGGGGTGGTTACTGACAGCTGGAGACTGAAGTCATCACCCTGTGAAGCAAGCAGTCCAGTGTCCGACGACAGGGAGTCTGTGCACCTTGGCTTCTCTGCACAGCCAACAGCAAGCAGAGCTGAGCATTCTGTGCTAGACAGCCTGCACCCCTCGAACACAGTCTTTCCTGCAGTAGTGTGAGTATAAGGCCACAATATTTATTTGGGATAAATCCCTTATGTAGTCATTTTAATATCAACATTGTTCATTCTTCCAAAATATAAAGTGTTCTAACTAAGGTTGCAGATAATTTTTGTTAAAACACTACATACATCACAACTAGTATGTTAAAGTTATTTATACTTAGATACGGAAAATATCCAAAGAAAATTTACTACCAAATTATTACAGTAGGAATTAATGACATGCTTATTAATTGATCCCATAGGTATGACTATAGATTAGCATGGTTTTAGTGTCTATTCTTTCATTTTACTAAATTAGGAACGCAGCATTTACAGAACAAAAACACACAAATGGTGCAGCCACTCAAGGCCTGAGATCGCTCTTCAGTTAGCTATGCTGCGAGCTCCGATACACATCCTGCTATGTGGAAAAAGCCGCGTTCAGTGCTTCATCAGAAGGTGCTGGTGGAGGTCGTCAGACGCCTTCCAATGTAGATCCTGAACAGAAAAAGCAATGGGCAGTTACCGCAGCCTCTCGCGCTCAGGTGATTTCGACAGGGCAGCTGACGATGGTTACAGCTCGTGCGAGGGGAATGGCTACCTCACACCTATTTTTAAAAATCTTGTGATGAATCTATCTGCAATCTTACCAAGCGTTTTCTTCTTCATTGGTATGCATTTTATAGTCATCTAGCGTAGAAAACATCCAACTGTGCTCTACCAGTGCAGCACACTCGGTACTAGGACCACAGAGCCTGCTAACCCGCCTGAATCGCTCTCGCTCCACACAACGCCTGCTGCCTTCCCTCTGCTGTGTGTAACGTGACCCAGGACCACACTGCTGGAGGAAGTCCCCTGGGGCCAGGTGACACACTGTAAGTTTACCCCCAGCCTCAAAGAGGCTGTCACTGAGAATGAAGCCCCTGCCCTCACACAGTCTAAGTCTGGAGGTGGAAGAGGTGCCCGGACCTAAGGGCCATGGGCGTCAGAAGGCTTTCCTGGGAAGACAGGCTCAAGCTGATGCCTGCAGAGCAGGCACTCGGGGAGGGAGGGTGCAGGAGGACATGCCTCCTGGAGAGGGGGCAGAAGTAGAGGAGCCTGGCAGGCTCGTGGGCAGTGGTGAGAAACAGCCTGCAGGCCCTGCTGCGGGAGCTTCTCAAGACCAAGTGAAGAGGGTGGGAAGCCCTGAGGTGTCTGGGGCAGGGAATGACACCACCAGGCCTTGGGAGGATAAAGGGCAGGGACACTAGCTGGAAGCCGGCTGCAGAAAGCCACCCTGAAACCAAGACCTAAACTAGGTATTTAAGACACAGGTTACTGGCCCTGCCCCGCAGAATCTGACCTGCTAGTTCTGGGGGAAGCTCCAGAGAAATCAGGATCTATAAACTCCCTGGGTAAGACATGCACTGCTGTGCATCTGACTCCAAAAGGCAGTGGCCAGAATCCAGACAGTGGGGCTGTGCTGAGAGAACAGCTGAGACAGAACCCCCAAGAGAGGGGAGCGAGATGCTGGGCTCAGGCCCAGGACACTGGGTGAATTTCATTTTGGTTATGCTGACTTGAGCAGCCACCGGCTCATCTAGGAAGCCATTTCCACAGGCTGGGCGAACTGTGGTCTGGGCTCAGGTCAGGAAGCTGACTCCACTCCTACATCCCACGGGTGGGAGGGCTGGGGTAACGTGCAAGACCCACAAGCTCCTATCTGCCCCAAGACTTAGGACAGACCTGGTCTCATCTGCCACACTCAGGGAATCTGGGAAAAGGGTGACTGTGCTACAGCGGCTTTTTCATCCTATTTCCCTCTGTGCCCTAGACGTGAGCCCTGCAGCCAAGTAGCACCCACAAAATCAGAAGCCCATCTTGACAATCCAGTCTGTCCAACGAGCTGCAGCCACAGAATGCTGTCACACACCAAGACTAGTGAGACCACCACCCACCTGGACAGAGAGTGAGGATGAGCCAAGAAAAAAGAGCAGCCATGGCTTCCCCAAGCAGCGTGCTCTGGCTCCTCAACACCGTTCGGGCTGAACGGCGTTAGGATCCATGGCCGCACCTGATGGTCTCTGCACAGTCAGTGCAAGAAGCCTGAGAACTGAAGACCTCGCCTGTGTCACTGCTGAGAGTGAACTACAGCAGTCCTGTCCCAGAGGAGGTACAGGAGCTGAGCCCACCCATCTGCAGAGAAAGGGACGGTTAGAGCACCCGCACAGCGCGAGGAGGAAGGAAGGTGGCCGACTGCAGCACACAACAGACACAGCCCCATCTGCGGAAGGGGAAACACGGGCTAACTAGTCTCCAGAGTCAGAGGTCAGCCCGGGGCTGCCCCATGGTAGGGCTCAGTGACTGGTGGGGGGACTTGCTTCTGTCCCTTGACCTGGGCAGGTTTGTTTACACACTTACATTAGCTGTGACTTACGATCTGTACTTCAGTAAATGTTTAAAAATAAACTACCGAGACCCAGAATTTTCCCAATGCGTGTCATGCAGGGAGTCACTTACCCCAATCCGATGGCCAGCAGATGAGACAGCAGCAGAGACGGAAGAAAAACTTTCAGAAACTCTGCTGAGAAAATGCCCCCTTTCTTCATAACACTCGTGTTTCTCATGCTGAGTGTGGCCGTGCGCTTCGGGTGTCTGAAGAGGAACTCCCTGGGGAAGAAGGAGCGAGGATGAGTCGAGTGCTGAGTCAGAGACGACCCCGTGATACTGAAAATAGACTCACTTGGGGGGGACATTTTCTGGCCGACTTGACCAATCCCATATCCAGTCTGAATTTTTCTTCAAGATGCTTTCAACTTCTTTCCTTCTCTCAATATAATCTTCCTCAGACTAAGAAAAAGGAAACGTTGAAGGTATATTAACCTACCGCATCCAGGCCAGAAAGCACCCAAGCCCAGAGCCCATGGCCACTGAGCCGAGCCACTCCAAGGGCTGCACAGAGCAGGGCGGGCAGCTGCCCTCCTCTAGGGACAGGGAGACCACTCCAGTGACATCCCAACTGTGAGATCCCGGTCCACTATGAAAAGCAAACACTGTCCTTGGGAAGCAGTGTCAGGCGAGCACGAAGATGTCCACACACAGATGCTGCCCTGCCTGCAGCATTAGAACAGAAGAAAATGAAAACCACCTAAAATGGCCCCAGACTGGGGGGCAGCTCAGTAAATGGACACCGTAGAGCAAACGAGTCGAAAAGAAAGATACTCTCATGTTACGTAAGAGGGTAACAACCAAAACCTATACAGACCTATGATTTCAGCTATGTTTTAAAAATTCTGTAACACTAATTAAAGCAGACTTTAAAAATTAGGATTATACATGTTGTTCTCTACTTTTTTTGTTGTTGTTAGGGAGACTGGCTCTGAACTAATGTCTGTTGCCAATCTTCCTCTATTTTATGTGGGACGCCGCCACAGTATGGCTTGACAAGTGGTGCTAGGTCCGTGCCCAGGATCTGAACCTGCGAACCCCAAGCCACCAATGCAGAGCATGCGAACTTAACCACTGCGTCACTGGTGGCCGGGCCCTACTTTTTTGTATTTTAAAAATTCTGTACCTGAGCATATAAATCCTTTTTAAAGGAATTATATAAACAGTATAAACAGGAAAAAAGCTGTTTAAACTTTTGGAAATACTCCAGAATGTTGCACCAAAGCTGGACGTGGAGCCGAATATCTGGGAGCAGCCAGCTGCCCTGGGGCACACCCCGTCCCCGTCAGGGCTCCTCCTGAGCTCTGGAAGCCTCGGAGTCTGGCTGGGGCCAGAAGCCTTCCTTGAGAGAGCCTGGGGTAGCAGACTCCAGATTCCTTGGCGAGGGAGGCTGAGGGGAGACTAGCCTGGGAGAGCGTGTGACTCAGTGGTACTGGCTGTAAGACATGCTCTGTAAGACACACAAGTAAATTCAACTGTCATGTCACCATGACTAAAGTCACCCAAGGAGACACTTCTTGGGCATCACTGTGTGCCCAAGACGCAGCACCACCAGACAGAACACTGCCTCCAGGTCCTCTGGTGGGTGGACCAGAACGGCAGCAGGACACTCGGGCCACAACGTGGGGGGCACTTGTTCTCACAGACGGAAGCCTCCAGGTTTTGTGGCCTCACAACAAAGCTTAGTGCCTGACATGTAAGACCCCTTAAATATCTGTGGGGCAGATGTTACAAGCGACCTCGGGCTGAAGGACCAGCCTGGCTAGCTCCTACACTGAACTACCCAGGCACCAGCTGCATGGCCTGAGGCAGTTTCTGGAAGCAACTACAGCGCCCAGTGAGGGAGGAGCGTCAGCACTACAACGATGATGGCAGAGGGTCCTGAAGGGCCCCGCAGGTAATGCCAGGCCCCCAAGCAGCTAGATGTTAAAACCCACTCACTGCCCGACCGACGGCCACAGAGACTGCTCCCACCTGGCTCCCTCCTGGCCTTCCCACTGCCACTCCCGCCCTCCCCGGGCAGAGGACCCTCCCACTCCATCGATCCCCTTGTGTCCTTGGATGGGGGCCTGTGCTACACACCCTAATCCGAGCCTGAACCTCCTCTGGTCGGCTCAGTGTGAAACCCAAGTGCTGGGGATGCCCCGACCCCACATGGTTTGAAAAAAGGCAAGAGACAGTCTGAAAGCTGGACTTTACTCAGTTGCACTGAAAACTTCCTGTATAAATAGATCACAAACACTGCAACTGCTCCTCTTACCTGAGAGCTATTTTTCTCTCCAATGCTATGGGTGTCTGTTTCAAAAGCTCTGTTAGTATCTTGTGGGGTCTGTGAGCGAGGCGGGCTGGGTGACAACGTGAATAAAAACAGGAAGAACAGAATGTCATGTTAACATTCACTTCATGAGAAGCAGACCCCAGGCAGGGGAGCATCTCCTCAGTGAGGAGGAAGCCCTCAGCAGTGCCCACCTCTTCCCTCCCACCCTGCAGATCAGGGCCAAACTGGTCCTCCATCTTTCAGCTGAGCTCAACAGGCATCAGCTAGGCCAGTCCTCTGGCGGGAGGGGGACATGGACAGCCAGCGGGTGGCGGGCTTTGTCACCCACTGGCTTTGTGGTCTGTTACACAGCCCTCAGGAGCACCTGACCTTTGATCTCTGACCCAGCCGTGCTGCCTGCTTCACTGGCAGTACTGAGACATGGGCCCATGATGACCAGCCTGACAAAGCTAATCCATGCAATGGGGCAGAAGCATAGGGACCGAGTTCCGATCTGCCCCTGGCTTTAACATGGCCCCTCCATAGAGCAAGCCTCAGTCACTTCCTCCCACAAGAGGGCAAGGGGCCCACTGTCTAAAGAGGGCTGGCGAAGCCACGCCCCATGCGGCCTGGGCTGAGCTGAAGCAGGCGTTTACAACTGGGACTGCTCGCCTACTTACAGTCAGCACTGTAAGACACATGCTTATTTATACCCACCTGTCACAGTGAGAACTCTTGGAGCTACTCCGTCCAGACTCATGCTGGGCATCCAGCAGTATTTTTTCCATTTCACCATTATAAATAGAAACTGAGGCTGGAACGCTGCTCCCGTTCCCGTTATTGCTGAAGTGCAATTCTACCCAGGAGCCTGAGGGGGACAAAAAAGGGCACAGTTGGAATTTTCTACCCACTTTGGAGTCTGATCCTAACGTATAACCAGCCCACCCCTCCGCTCCCAAGAGGTCCTGGGGACACCACCTCCCTGAACCACATCCCCTCGCGCCCATTTCCAGCACTTGGGTTCCAGCAGCTAGTCTAGCCTTGCCCTCCCCGGGAGCTGCACACCTGCCCTCCCGGACGCCAGGCAGATGCCTGGGAACCCGCTGAGGGAGCAGGTCCAGCTGACCACAGTGCTTCCTGCATTCAATTTTTAGAAGCAAAATGTCAAAAGTGTCAACAAAAGTTTAAGGGACTTGAAAATTTTAAAAAGGTTTAAATTATCTCATAAACCTATTTGAACTAGAATCACATTCTGACCCTGAGGCCCCACAAAATTCTTTTCTGACTGCTGTTCTGTATTTATTTACATCCGAAGCCAGGTGAATATACTTTGAATAGAACAAAGGATTTCCAACGAACCCTGATGAGTCAGAGGCAAGCCATCCCTCCAGTGCCCACTTAGCCAAGTCTCCATGGGGAGGGAGCCCAGCATTCTCTCACATGACCCCACATCTGACGTGTTCCACATCCCCAGCAAATGCATTCCATCCAGACAGATTCTATAGACGCAGAGAGCTGTCCTAGCACCAGGTCATCTGCTTACAAAACAGAGCACATGAGCAGCTACCACACCCCACACCCCCAAACCCTGCAAGGAAAGCCATTACCATAAGCTAGGCTGTCTCTTGCTAGCCCCACTATCTGGAGTTAGCTCGATAATTCACTCCAGTCCAACAACTGATCTGGGTACACTGCACAAATTTGTGCTCAGAGCTGTGAATCCAGAATGAGTGGGCAGAGCCCCCACCTGGAGGGGCCTGCTCAGGAGCGTCCTCAGTGGACGCACAGCCACAATATAGGGCAGTAAGGTGCTGGGCGAGCGCAGGCTGAGGAGGCAGGGCTGCTGGTTTTGCCTGTGTGTGTTTGTACTGGGGCGCTGTAGGTGGGAGAGACCTGAAAGATGAAAATGATTTTGGCACATCCCACATGTCCCACAAAAGGACACGTGTGAACCCCAAACACAGAGCTGTCCTCACAGTGCTGCCAGTGGCAGGTCCAGTGCAGCTGGAGTGGAGATGCCCACAGGTGGGGGCAGTGAGACTGGGGAGGTGGGTCAGGACCAAGAGCACAGCCTGGGGGTTTGGAGTTGAGGGGGCTACCAAGTGTTTGTAGACTCATGCATGTGGCTGAGCACAGTTTTGTTGTTGTCGCACAGCTTCCGCTGTAGGGCTGTGCCATGATTTATCCATTCTGTTAGATGTGTGGCTTGCTTCCAGTTGGGGGCAGTTACGAATAATGCTTCTGTAAACATTCGTCTAATGTTTCATGGTGTCCACGTGCTCCTGTTTCTGTTGGATGTGTACCTAGGAGTGGGATTACCGGGTTAAAGGTAATACATAAATGATGTCAATGTTAGTAGAAAACACCACTGCTTTCCGATGCAGGTGAACCCATCCGTGTACCATTCTCCCAATATGAGTGTTTTTGTTGCTTCACACTTGGTATCATCAGTCTTTAAACTCAGCCATTCTGAGGTGTTTGGTGGTATCTTGTGTGGTTTATTTTGCATTTCTCTAATTTCTAATGAGGTTGAACATTTTTTTCATACATTTACTGGCCATTGGATAGCATCTTTTTAAATTACTGGTTCAAAATTCTCTTACTCGTTTCTATTGCATTGTCCATCTTTCTCTTATCTGTACAAGGTCAACATTCAAGATACAGGCCTTTATTCATGTGAATGTGTTGTAACTAACTTTCACTGTGGCTTGCCTTTTCAATCTTAAAAACATCTTCTAGGGGCCAGCCTGGTGGTGTAGTGATTAAGTTTGCATGCTCCGCTTTGGCGGCCCAGGGTTCGCAGGCTTGGATCCTGGGTACAGACCTAGCACGACTTGTCAAGCCACGCTGTGGTGGCATCTCACATAAAACAGAGGAAGACTGGCACAGTTGTTGGCTTAGTGCCAGTCATCCTCAAGCAAAAAGAGAAAGACTGGCGACAGACAGTTCAGGGCCAGTCTTCCTCACACACACGCGTCTTCTGATGAACATGAGCTCTTGATTTTAATTCAGTACAATTTTCACTCTCTCCCTAATCTGAGGTCATGAAGATATTCTACTGTGTCGTTTCAAAAAGCTGTATCGTTGCACACTCACTCAGATGTGGGTGTAATGCACCTGGATTTAGCCTGTGATCTGAGACGGCTTAGCTTTCCCAGACGGCCTTCACCTGCCCAGCATCATCCATGAGCCTGCCTCTGCCGGGCCCTCTGCTCCGTGCCGGCGCCTCGGTCAGAAATCAACTTGCAACATGCACAGGGCTGCTTCCAGCCCAGGACAGTCTCTGTTGTCGGAGGTGTCTGTAGCTCCAGCACGTCTACCTGCACGGCAGCTCTGGTGGCACCCGGAGGACAGTACAGTAAGGAGAGGATGAAGGCAGACCACCCAAGAGCGAACAATTCATGTACTAGAAAAACCTCAGTGAACCAGGTTTGTAGTCACTCTCATTTTATTACAATAAACGTCACCCAGAGCTGCTACTCTGTGCTCAAACCAAGCCGGCACTGGCACTACACAGCACCGCGCAGGGGGGACGGAGCCCACTCATCACTCCGCTGGGTTAGCGGAAGCACCAGAGGCTGCACAGCTTTCCAACACACGAAACAGGCTCTCTTCTGAAAGAGTCCTGGCCACCTCTCAATAGCTGCTTGTTGCAGAACACATCCTACTAATCAGAGAACAGCAAATCAAAGACCCAGAAAACAATGTGAACTTGCAGCTGACACCAGCCTCCCAGTTAGCTGCTAACAAAAGGATCGATCACATGACGTTTCCAAATTAATGCACAACTTTTCTCTTTTAGCTCCAAGTTGCTTTACGTTGGCCTGGCCGGCACAAGCACCTCTCTAATGCACAGGACGGCCAGGGTCTGTCTGGGAGCCCCGGCCCCTCAGCCTATGCCTGTCAGCAGAGGCTGCAGTGACTTCAGAGCTGCCCACACACCCCCTTCCTGAGACCGCTCGTCTGACTACATCTTCATCAAGGTTGCTGACCATACTTCCGAGTACTCCAACGCCTTCTAACGCCGAAGTATCACTCTAAAAGCTCCTGCATGAGTCCTCAACTAGCCCCCCTTCCTTCCCTGGGACTCAAGGTGACACTCAGCCTGCTCTGGCCCTGTGGCAGGAAACAGTACATGGGCCCCTGCTTTGGGCATGGTTCTCTTTCTCTAGGCTCAATCTACATTATTCAGATTCTGGGCCTGGCTCAGTTTCCCTGAGGAGGCCAAAGTGCTGCCCAGGTCACCTGCAGGGTCTGACATACTGGAGTCTAAGGGGGTGCTTTTTTCTGACATGAAATGGGAGGGAGTTTCCACACCAATAACTAATTCTCCAACACCCACTGGCCATCCAACTGTCCATGTCAGCTTCGAGGGCAGGTCCCACGAGACAAAGGGCTCAGTCCCACGAGGCTGCCCCTACGTTAGACACCAGCCACAAATCTGTGGGACATCTACACTACCCACACTTCTGCCTGGCCTGGCAGCCTACAGATTCCGAGGTTCCTACAACGTCCCCCCCCCCCCCCCCCCCCAAAAACAACTCCCACTTTACTTCCTCTGTTTACCCACTTACTAGAAAGGCTACAACTCAGGGAGAGCCAGCTGGAAGAGACCACAGGGCAAGGGGGGGGGGGGGGCAGGGCTTCCCTGTTCCCTGCTCTCTCTGCTCCCAGCGGCCCCGCCCAGCACGCACAGGAACCTCGAGGTCCAGGCCTCAAAATCTAACTTCCAGCCCCTCCCCTCCCTGGAGGGGGTGGGTGCCAAGTTTCCACCCTCTAATCACAGGGTTGGTCTTTCCCAGCCCATCCTATCTATGTTAATGGTCTATGCTAATGAGGCTATCTAGGGCCCAGTCACAAGTGTGTTCCAAAGGGGCTCCTACAAGGAATAAAGAAAGGCGCTATCACTCCAGGAACTCCAAGGGGTTTGAGGTCTGTCGGGAGCCAGGGACAAAGACCAAATGTGTACGTATGTATATTTTTTCTTAATTGAAATATAATTGACATATAACACTATATTAGTTTCAGGTATATATTTTTTAATTATACCACAAGGGCCAACTCAAGACTCCATGGAGACAAGTATACCCTTTTTTAAATCATCTCATAAAAAGTCCTAAGCATCCTACAAAAGAAAAGAATCCCATTCTGGACTGTTGGAGCAAAAGCTTTGAGTCCAAAAGCTGTTTCCAAAGAATGATTTACTAAAGGACAAGAGTTTTATTATTAACCTGCAACAACTGGATCAGGAAAGCATACTTCCTGGAAAATAGGAAAACGTACGCTGTTTACCTACTTACATCATGCAATTAAGGTCACTCATCTTTTTAAGCAAGAAAAATAGGGATTACGGTTGCTTCGCAACCTTAGAAAACTTCCTCAGAACCACAAATAAGCCATGGAATAACGTAGCAGAACAAGCCTCAGAAAGGCGTTGAGACTGCCCACGGCAGGCCTCATCCCTAACTTCACTCCCTCTCCCTGCTCTCCCCACACCCACCGAGAACACTGCCAACAGGACCACAAGTCCATCTGGAATGGGGAGGAACTAAGTGCTCGCCGCGGTACCTGCCTCTACTCTGACAGAGGCCGGGGACGCCCTAGCCCCGCTGCCCCCCATTTAGCCCAGGGCAGACCTTTCTCTCCACCTTTGCACAATACCCCCCACTCCCCCCCCACCGGCCTCCAGCCTAGCCTGGGGTAGCAGGTCTCAACCCTGGCTGTGGAGAATCACCTGTATGCTTTTGTTTTTTCACTTTCTCCACCGCCCTTGGAAAAACTCTGATTTGGAATGCTGGGTGGAAGCCTGGCATTGTGGCAGGGTTGAAACTGACTGGTTAGGGGAATGACAGGCATCCAAACAAATAACCTACCAGACAGCAGGATGCAGAGGGATGCTGGAGAAGGTGTGGCATCCCAGCAGGCAAGCCTGAGGCACAGAGCCGCCAAGCCTGGAGGGCGCCACAGCCCTGTCACTGAGGGCTTCTTCCCTGGGAGGGGCGGGCTGTAAGAAACCACTGCTCTCAAAAGCTTCTCAAGTCCGGTGGGGCGGGAACAAGAGACCTGATTGACAGGTGATTTTAAACGTTAAGTCAAAGGGGTAGATTATTCAGTTCCTGGTTCCTCAAAGGAGCTGGTGATCTCTCCCTTCCTCTTGCCAGGCCGGGCCACAGGATGCTGCCTGTCTCATGCCTGCTGTCACTGTGGCTCCAGTGCCCCACATCAAGAGCCCCGGGTTCTTCCTGAACTGTCGCCTGCCTGACTTATTCCTCACTTAGCCTCTAGGCCTCACTGTACCCATCTGTGAAACATAGGGGTTGGGCTATGATCTAGACGTCTGAAACCCTAAACTCAGACTGCATGACACTACAGTTCCCCTCCAAAAGAAATGACTTATTTTTCTCTCCAGACACCTCTATCCACGGGGGGCTGCTTACAACATCTCAGCAGCTGCCGATGCAGCAGCAAGTGAAGAGGTGGGACCGTCTCAGAGTACGCGGGCACGGACCTTACTGCACTGATGACTCAGGAGCAGCTCTGCTCAGAACACAGGGGTCCTTCTGGGAAGTGGATCATGCCTCCCCCCCATGATACTGTGGCACAGTATCATCACAAACTTCCGCCTCCCTCCTGAATTTCAGCAGTTGTCTGTCTAAGGGAAAAAAGAAAAGCATATACGACACCTTGCTAGTCAACAGACGGAGGTAAGGAGAGAAGCACCAATCAATTTGTGCTGTTACCTCCTGGGCAACATTTGGTCCCAGAGGATTCCAGCGCAGCGGGGGGTGTCTGCTGTAGCCTGAGGGCCAGCCTACCAGGGCTTTCTCCTGCTCGGTGCAGAGGTAATCACATCACAACAGAGCCAAGGGGACAAGGGCTGCCTAGGCCAGGAATCCTTGCCCAGATTCACATTTCTCAGGGCGGCTGTGAGGCCCTGTGGGACTCAAGTGACGCCTCCCACAGCAGGCTGGCCCGTGAGCCAGTGCCCAGTCGCACGTCGTGCACTCAGGAGAATGCCCTAAAGAACCCTGAACAGGAGTTTCCACTCAGTGTATAAACATCTTTTTACAGAATACGGAAAACAGAAAAACAAATCTTTTATCTCACGAGCTGGCGATTCTGCATTGCCAGTGACTCAGCAGTCTACTGTCAGTCACGGAAGGGAGATCCAGCCCCCAGGAGCATCAGCAGGCTTCCACACTACAGCTGGACCCATAAGGCAAACACAACGTCAGAAGTTGTCGTTTGATAACTAGGAAAATGATGATTTTAAGGCAGTTTATGAAACACCCTTGGATCTTTTGAGAGACAAGACAGAAAAGATTTAATCCTTTAATCTATTTCAAAGAATCAATGTCTAAATAAAAGGAGCAAATTACAGGATTTTTTAAATGTGGCTATCACTTTTTAAACACGTGTTACTCAATGCATTAGACGGTCTTCCCTAGTAAAATCTTATTTTAAGGAGTAAGGAATGTAATTAGCAGCTCACTAAATTTATCTGAATAAGGGTTTTCAAAGTCTTTTTTTATTTTTCCTTTCTCTCCCCAAAGCCCCCCGGTACACTGTTGTGTATTTTCAGTTGTGGGTCCCTCTAGTTGTGGCATGTGGGATGCCGCCTCAGCGTGGCTTGACAAGCGGTGCCATGTCCGCGCCCAGGATGCGAACCGAACCGGCGAGACCCCGGGCAGCCACAGCAGAGCGCACGAACTTCACCACTCGGCCAGGGGGCCGGCCCCTAAAAGTCTTAACGAAGTTTACCAATCCACTCTCAAAGGGTTAAACAGCCCTCTCCAGCGCTATTTACATGTTGGTTTTGCCCAGTGAACTCCTGCTTCAGAGAAGACAAAGGTCGACGGCCAGCGGCTCCTGCTCCGCCTCCCGGGCCGGGGTCACTCACTGAGCCGGAAGGAGCGGGCCCGGGGGGCGGCTCTACTGAGGCAAGACCACAGGGCGGACCACCCGGCTGCCACCCGCTTAGCGGTGCGAGATGCAGTGGCGCCCGGAGCCCTGGCTTTCCGCGATGCAGGGGTGGTCGGAGACCCGGGCCCGGGGCGCAGCGTCCACCCAGCACGGCCCCGTCTGCAGCAGGGCGCTGCACGGGACAGGCAGCGGGCAGCTCCTGCACCGTCAAGCCAACTCGGAGCTCTGTTTTGGAGCGACCCACTAGTACTGCTGGAACACGAGCCTAAAAATAAAACTGACTCCACGTCTGCACCATTTCTGCGCGCTGCCCATCTGTTCCCCGAGCAGAGCGGCTGGCGCCCATGCGCCCCGCGTCACGGAGCCCCTCCGTCCTTCCCCCGCCCCGAGAAAGTGCCGCCCGTCACCGGGGCACAGCCGGCGACGGCCTCACGCGAAGGCCGCACCGCTGACCTCGCCAGGCTTGTGGCCTTTTCTCGCTAAAACCAGCACTGGGCTCGACGACAGAACACGGAGTAAAACACGACCGAAACAGCACTCGGGCTCCGGGAGACGCGACGCGGTGGAGGCTGGGCTCGCCGGCGGAGCCAGCCGGGCCCGGGCGCGCGAGCGAGGGGAGGGAGGCGCCGGCGGCCCGGGGCGAGCCCGCCGCGCAGACCCCGCGGCGGCGCACCGTCGGCTCCCACGCCCGCCGCCCGCACCACCGGCCCTGGCGACGGCGCCCCGCAGGCTCTGCCCCGCCGGCCTCGTCCCCACCCCGGCCCCGGCCTCCGCTCGGTCTCCCGGGCCCGGCGCAGCTCACCCTGCAGGTTCTCCTCCTGCAGTCCGGGGGTCCCGCTCTGAGACATGGCGCGCGCGAGGGCGCTGCGGCCGGCGGGCCGCGGTCGGGCGGGGGAGCAGGAGCGCCGGCCCAGGGGCTCGGGCTGCGTCAGCCCAGGGCCGCGACTGATGGATGCGCCGGCGACGCACGCCAGATAAGCGGCGGCGTCGCCCATTGGCCGCGGGGCGGGGCCTGCGGGGGAACGCGTGCGGCGCGTGCGGCGCGTGCGCGGGGTGAGACGTGCGGCGCGGGGCGCGCGTGCGCAGGCGTGGCGAGGGGCGGGGTCCGGGGCGAGGAGAGGTGGACGCCCTGGGCACGCTTCAGGGGGCGGGAAACTGAGGCACGGAGCGCGTCCTGGGGCGCGCCTGGGAGGGGTGTAGTGCGCGCGGAACGTGCGGCGGCGCAGGCACGGCTGGGAGACAGGCCCGAGGCGCTGGCCGGGCCCGGCGGGGTCAATCGCTGTTCTTTTAATGTTGCCGGAAAATGTACTGCTCTCCCTCCAACAGTGAAGGAAATGCGACAGCGGAACGTCCTAGGGCCCCGGGGACTTGCTAGAGAGACTGCAGGTGGAAACAGACCAGGGCCAGGCCACCTGTAAGGATGGACCTGTACCCACGCCCTGCGGCCGCCCCCTACCCGCGACCGCCAGCGCACGAGCCCGGCCCCCCACCTGCAGCGACCGGCCGGGAAGCCAGCGTGCCACAAGTCAGAGTTGCAGGAAGTCAGACCAGCATCTCCAGCAACTGGTCCAGGAGGCCGCACAACCACCCCGTGACACTCAGCCCCAGATGGCCAGAACGTGATCAATAACTGACAGCTTCCCCAATTTCTGTCCTTCCTTCCAACTTGGGACCAACCAGAGAAAGCCAAAATGCTCCCCTAACCAATCGCGAGGACACCCCGCTTCCAGATCCCCACCTCCAGCATCCTCGGGACCCCATCCGCCATGGCCCCATCCGGGCAACCCTGAGCCCCCGTTTCTTTCCGCTGAAGTCTCTGCTCCTCCGCCTACCTTTGGGTTTCTGCCATCACAAGTGTCGACCCCGCCTGCTACAGTGCGCCCTGAGTAGCAGCCTCTGCTGTTTTCACCTGGGGGTCCTTGTTTCCATTCTAGGTAAGGATGCTCTTGAGAGGGGCATTAGTTCTCCTTAGCTCTCTTTCTGGCTATAGAGGGGCTAGCCTTTCAGTTTGATCATTAGTTCTCATTCTCGTTTATTCACCAAGCGTCTGCTCAACACCGTCCGTGTTGCAGCCGTGTTCTAGATGGATACAACAGGGAACAAACAGAAACCGTTTCCCCACAGGGACGCAAATCACAAAACCCCCATAGCATGGTCCCACCGGCACCTCTCCTCGCTGGTGCCTCTCCCGGCGCCTCAGGCCCCTTGCTGGGAAAGCTGCCTTCCCTGAAGAAGCCAACGACATCAAGTCTTCCAACCCATGAGACAGTGTATTTCTCCATTATTTAGATATTCTGATTTCTCTCAGCAGGGTTTTGTAGTTTTCAGTGTACAGGGCTTGCACATCTTTTGTCAGATGTATCCCTAAATATTCGTATTTTTAATGTTATTGTGATTACTTTTATTACATTTCATTTGATTGTTTTTGTGTATTTTGGGGGGTTTGTGTATTGTTGCATCCTGCCATTTGCTAAGCTCACCAAAACTCATAAATTTTATAAACCCTCTGAAGTCTCTGTGGGCAATTACCTGGAAAGGCTTACACGGAAATATTTCTCATTGCAGCCTGGTTTTCCCTCCCCACGTGGACCCCTCTCCAACTCCCAGCAAGTTCCATCACTCAGAGGACCCCATGCAAGGGAGGCCTGACTTCCTGCAGCATCCGTGTAAACCCGCCTTTGAGAAGGTTATCGTGTTGGGGGAGGGGGGCAGGTACATCTGCCGGGGAAGCGCGAGGAGCCCCAGGTCAGAGCTGGAGGGGCAGGTGGGAAGGAAAACTCCGTGACTTGAAGATCTGCTCCGCTTGGCCCAGCCGAGCTCAGGTGCCCCGCCCTGAGAGCACAGCACTGGTATCGGGACAGTGGGCAGCACACTTGTTTGCTGCTGTAGCCCCTGAAAGAATTTTGAAAACTACTCCTTCCACATTTCAAGTAGACACCTAAGCTTCTCCTCGTAAATGTAAACAGTTGCAAAGGATGCTATTTCTGGCATACTCTTGTTACGGAACCAGGTTTGTTTTGCCCACCACCCGGTAGGTCAATCACTAAAACGAGTTTACAGCAGAGAAGGGGTTTATTCATAAGGCAGCCAAGCAAGGAGTCTCAAATCCTCCTCCCCGAAAATAGGGATTAGGGATATTTAGGGGCTGAAGGGCGGGCGGTCTGAAGTGTGGAGATAGATGATTGGAAGGATGAGAAGTGAGGTAATCGATGACCTGCGCAGGCGTAGTCAGACTCCACGCCTCTTCATAGGACGCATGTTCTCACAATGGTGGCGTAGGCTGATCTGAGATTCGGCCCCCTGACGTCAAAGGGGCACCTATCAGACATTCTCTGGGGCCCAGTTGATGAGTCAGTGGTCCTAATTGGCTTGAACTGGACAAGGAGTCCACGCAGTTCCTGAAAAACAGCTTAAGCACCCGTTGCCGTGGGGACCCAAGCATCAGAGATGTCATCTATAGGGTGGGCTTTTTTTTTTTGAGGAAGACTGGCCCTGAGTTAACATCCATGCCCATCTTTCTCTACTTTAAATGTGGGACGCCTGCCACAGCATGGCGTGCCAAGCGGTGCCATGTCTGCACCCAGGATCTGAACCGGCGAACCCCTGGCCACTGAAGCAGAATGTGCGCACTTAACCGCTGCACCACCAGGCCGGCCCCAGGGTGGGCTTTATAGGGCATTCTCTGACTGCTTTTGCAAACGGACAACTGACTGAATCTAGTTAAAGCAGGTTGGCTCCCGTTTCACTGTACGTATTATTTTAATCAAACTTTTCATAACGCTTTGAAATGTATACAATGGCTGCTAAGTACCAAAGTAATTTGATATTACCATGACCCAATTAAAATATACATTCATAATTGTCCTCTTTAGCAGGAACTTTTGTATCTTTCAATTTTCTTCTTGAAACTGTATGTCAATTTTACTTTCTCCTTATAAATTTATCGTAAGATGATGTCTTTTCTTTTTTTCTTTAAGATTTTATTTATTTATTTATTTTTCCTTCTTCTCCTCAAAGCCCTTAGTACATAGTTGTATATTTTAGTTGTGGGTCCTTCCAGTTGTGGCACATGGGACGCCACCTCAGCATGGCTTGATGAGCAGTGGTTGGTGCGTGCCCAGGATTAGAACCAGTGAAAGCCTGGGCCGCTGAATCGGAGGGCTCAAACTTAACCACTCGGCCACGGGGCCGGCCCCTCTTTTCATTTTTGAAAGTCTTTTATTTTATTTTATTTTATTTTTTGAGGAAGATCAGCCCTGAGCTAACATCTGCTGCCGATCCTCCTCTTTTTGCTGAGGAAGACTGGCCCTGAGCTAACATCTGTGCCCATCTTCCTCTACTTTCTATGTGCAACGCCTGCCACAGCATGGCTTGGCAAGCGGTGCCATGTCCACAACCAGGATCCGAAGTGACGAACCCTGGGCCACCAAAGCAGAATGTGTGCACTTAACCACTGTGCCACCAGGCCGGCCCCTCAAAGTCTTTTATTGATCACCCTGTCTTATATCTATTTATAAAAATTCCATTTGAGGGACATTCTACAGAATACCTGTCCTGTACCCTCAAACTGTCAAGGTCATCAGAGGAAAAGGAGACCAGCTCTCTGCCAGGTACTGTTCCATCGTTGCACAGCCCTTGCAGCACCTGAACCCAAAATGTGGGACCCCAAAGGGGACCTGGGCAGGCCAGCCTAGGCAGGCAGGGAAGGAGAAGAAAATGGCTTGGGGCAAACAGAATACACTGCCGTCAGCTCCACATTGGACCAGATTGACTCCTGCTTGGACCACCTGGAGAACAGCCACCTCCATGCCCACCTCCAGAGTTGCTGAAGTCCAACTGGCAGACATGCCTTGAGTCCAGCAGCAGCCTGGGGAGGCCCCCAGTGATGCCAGCCCCTAGGATCCTGGAGCCCCCGGCCAGGCTCCAGCCCTGCCTCCCTGGCCAGGCTCTAGCCTGGGCACTCACTGCCTGGCTTACATACCTTCTCAAGACCAGGCCTGCAGGTGCCCTGGTGGATCTGCCTGCCTGGGCCACCCTTCTGGTATTCTCATACTCCCTTTGGGTGCCTGGGCCAGCCCCCACTGCTCTGCATCCCCTCATGGGGCCGGGGGTGTACCTGCCCAATTCCTGAGCACTCCCCACCCTGCCCAGGCCTTGAGTGTCCACAGTAAATCGGCCTCCAACACCAAAAACGTAAATAAATAAAGGGAAGTCACAGCCAAGAGGGGCCTAAGACGTGAGACTGTCATGTAGTGTCCTGGATGAGATCCTGGGATAGAAAAAGGACATTAGGTAAATACTAAGGAAATCTGAATAAAGTATGGACTTTAGATAATAATATATCAATATTGATTCATTAATTATAGCGAATATACCATACTAATGTAAGATGTTAACAATAGGGGAAACGGGGTGTGAGAGTATATGGGGACTCTGTGCTGTCTTCATAATTTTTCTGTGGATCTAAAATAGTTCTACGAAATAAAGTTTATCAAAGATAATATGCTAGATGCTACTCGTATGAAAATGTGCAGTAGTAAATACATTTTAAGAAAAGGTATAGAGTAAATTAACTAGGTACTAATTGAAAAAGCTAGGAAAAAACCTTAAAAGAAATAAATAAATTTATAACATTTTTTAAAAAGTTAAAGCAAAATGAACAAGTGAGAAAACAGATTTGTCTTAATAAATTCGAATTTTATTTTAGTGATAAATGACATTTTGGACAATAAATGAGGACGTTATTAAAAAGTCAGAGGAAATTTAGAACAGGATGCAAACATCATGTATACGTTTATACTAACAAAAACTAAATAAAATGATTTTCCAGGAAAATATAAATTACAAAAACTGACTCATAAGGAGGTAGAAATTCTGAAGAGGTAGCAAAAATTGGAAAGGTGATTGACGACCCATGTTCCCCAAGGATGTCAGGCTCAACCGGTTTATGGATGAGTTCTGCCAAACCTTCAGAGTATGGATGGCTTCTGTGTTATTTCCAGGGTGTGGTCATGTAACAGCTAGATCTTTAATTAGCATGAGGGCAGCCATCTTAGGGAAAGGAAGCAACATTGTAACTATATATGACCCTGACTCACTGGTCCCTGTGGATACATTCTAGCCTGCACGTAGCCCGGGATGATTAATTGCAAAATGATCTGCTAGTTCTTACTCTTGCTTACGTATATCTCCCGGCTGTGAGAAGATGACAACTTTGTTCTCCCAGTTCCCCAAGAACATGACAACCTCCAGAAAGAAAAAAATCTGCATTGGTACCCATCAGAAATGACAGAAGAAAGAGGTAATGTGGCGCCTTGAAGTTTGTCACACCAGATGGTCACCTCCCTAACCCCTCCTTCCCTGCCCATTTCCCCTGTATAACTGCCTCGAGATTCTGGGTGACTTTAAGATGGTTCTTCAGGACGCTAGTCTGCCATCTTCCGATTATGCTGGCTAATCGTATAAATTTTCCTTTCCCATCCACCGGCTTGTTTGCAATTGATTGGCACCAGGTTGCGGCTAGCGGAGCGAGCCTCTTTTTTGCTCAGTTAGTTAGGTAGTGAGACTTTACCGGGTCATTCTATGAGGTTGGTACAACTCTGAGACTGACAGCAGGTCAGGGTACCAGAGGGAGATATAACACTGGGCTATTTTCTCTTAGGAATACACATGCAAAAATACTGGATAAAATGCCATCAAATTGAATTCTAAAGAAGATTAATACATCACAACCAAGTAGGGTCTTTCCTGGGAATGTAAGGATGGTTTAATAGATATATTTTTTTTTCTGCTTTTTCTCCCCAAATCCCCCCAGGACATAGTTGTATATTTTACTTGTGGGTCCTTCCAGTCGTGGCATGTGGGACGCCGCCCCAGCATGGACTGATGAGTGGTGCCATGTCCACGCCCACGATCCGAACTGACGAACCCCTGGGCCGCTGAAGTGGAGCACGCAAACTTAACCACTCGGCCACAGGGCTGTCCCCTATTTTTTAAAATATTAAAGAAGAAGAATATTTTGAACATCCTAACAATCAGAAATACCTGAAAGTTCAAAGACTAAGAATATTATAGGGGCTGACCCAGGGGCTGAGTGGTTAAGTTCACGGACTCTGCTTCAGAGGCCCGGGATTCACAGGTTCAGATCCCAGGCCAGACCTACACACTGCTCTTCAAGCCATGCTGTGGCAACATTCCATATAGAAAATAGCGGGAGATCAGCACTGGTGTTAGCTCAGGGACAATCTTCCTAAAGTAAAAAGAGGAAGATTGGCAACAGATGTTAGCTTAGTGTTACCGAACCAGGTTCATTTTTGCCCGCCACCCAGAAAGCCAAACACCGAGACGACGAGATTGCAGCAGAGAGAGTTTACTCACAAGGCAGCCACGTGAGGAAGTGAGAGCATGAGCCTCAAATCTGCCTCCCTGAAAATGGGGACTCAGGGATAGTCATGGGATGGGGGCAAGGCGGTCTGAAGTGTGGAGAGAGGTGACTGGAGGTGAGGAGCGGGAGGGAATTGATCTGCGCAAGCATAGTCAGACTCCACACCTCTTCATAGGACCCGTGTTCACAAAATGGCAGCATTAGCATGATCTGAGGGTGGTGTTTTTAGCCTCTTGGTGTCAAAAAGTCGCCTCTCAGACTGCTGAATGGGCCCAGTTGGGTTGGTGGTCTCAATTGGCCTGGAGTGGACAAGGAGTTCTAATTCCTGAAGAACACCTCACACACCCATTACCATGGAGACCCAGGCTCCAGGGAGATGCTATCTATAGGAGCCTAGCGAGAGTCAGAGAACATATTGCCTAAACAGCACAGTTGACAGTGGGTGGGTGGGTTAAACAGCTAAAAGCTATAATCAGTAACTGCAAAAGGAAAAAACTTTAGTGCCTAGCTACCTGATCATCAATGGCTGTTTGCTGGTTTCAATCTCTGCTATTCTTTAGTCATTCCTCATTTTTGAGGGATTTGGGGCAACAACCAATCTAGCTGCTTCCTGCTGAATTGGGGCCTAGATCCGGGCTAAAGAAATGAAACTGTTTAGCACTTATTTGGAAATACTCTCGTTTCCAGCTTCATGTTGATGTTTTTGTATTATGAGAATTTTGTATCTTGTTCCACATCTAAAACATCTGAAAAGCACATTTTATAATCATGTGTCCAACCAGAAGGATAAGAAGTATAGACAACCCAAATTTTAACAATCCCTGAAAAATAGACCTAATCCCAGTGGGGGCTCCATCTGGTCTCTGGGTGGGGCAGACATCTGGTCTCAGGTCCTGATAGTCTTTTGTTTTACTGGATATGCATCAGAGACCAGAGCAATGGCCTATACGCTGATCTTTCCGTTGTCATTGATGATGGCCATCAGCACAGACTCTCTTCCTGAGGGTCATCACATTCCTAAGGAACTCAGAAGAACAAAGTTACCAACTCATAGCAGCTGGGAGGGTCCATTAAATCTACAAAGCATGTCTGGGTTAGTTAATCAGAGGTCATTCAAGGTTACAATGTGGTTTCTTTTTTACAATATGGCTTCCCTTATGTCAACCTTGTGTTGACTGGTATCAATCCCCCCTTTTGTTGTTCATCTTCAATCTTGAGAGATTATCCTGCTGATCAGGGGCATAGGTTGTTTCCATCTCATTGAACCAGTCTCTTAGTAAGATGGTGATGCAGGTGGGCTCCCAAAGTTCAGCCTATATTGTGTTAGCAAGTAACCAGGTAGTTAATAAGGAGTGTTTCTAGAGAGACAAAAAGAAAAGCAAGGTTAACAGTGGGAGCAAAACCAGCAAATTATTTCTGAGCCCAGGCAGCAGTCAAAAGATTTCTAGGTGTCAGAGTCAAAGAATTTTTTTTAAAGATTTTATTTTTCCTTTTTCTCCCCAAAGTGCCCCCAGTACAGAGTTGTATATTTTTAGTTGTGGGTCCTTCTAGTTGTGCCATGTGGGATGCCA